TCTTTCCTAGGTTTTAGACGAGGGACGTCTCGTTGAATTCGACGAACCATTTCTTCTTCTGAAGAGAAAGAACAGTATATTCACACAGCTCGTCGAGCAAACTGGACCAAAATCTGCTGAAGTCCTCCGAGAGACCGCTCGACAAGCCTTCGAGTTACGACACGATAATGACCTACAGGACGACTACAACGTTCCAGRCGACGGGGTKGCTGTATTWAACGCATTGGACGAKGAAAAGGGAGGCAATCAGCATTTTAATAAAGATAAAATGCCGGATATTGTGATTGAAAATGACTCTGAAGTGACTGAAAGTAATAAAGAACAAGAGGCCGATACTTATGGTGGTGACAGTCATGGCGACATTGCTGATGATAATAACGAAAGTCATAAAGATGGGGATAGCTCAACACCGGACCATATAGACGACAGCAGTACACCTTTGATCTAAAATAAAAGGCTCTAGACTTGCTCCAAGTCGCTTGTTGCTCAGTACTACCAAACGATGACCAGGTGGAATGATTGTATTTATGGAAAAACTGAGTTCTCTATTGACTATATTATATACATAAAATATATTTTTGATAATAAGACGACAGGTTAAAGTTTATAACAAGACATCTTTATGCCATCTTCAGTTGTATAGGATAATTACATTTGAAGAGCTTCTATTTATACTAGTTGAGTCTAGAAATAATTTATGAGATTACAAAGATATTGATTTACAACGGTTTGAATTAAAATAACAATAAAAAGCTACAATTACAAAATAATAAATGTAATTACAAAATAATATATGTAAAACTAAAAACACTTAAAATAGAACAAAAATAACAATAAACGAAAAATACGCAGTCATTGACTGCATGTGACTCAGGCTGAATAGATAACAACAATGCTCAAAAACAATAAAGTTAGGGTGGACTTCTGGAATTGTTGTCTCGAATATTAGTTTTATTGTCATTGAACTTGCTTAGCCTCAACTTATACSTATGTAAATAATAATTAGGTTCAGTTATAGAATTAGGAAAGTTTCAGTATCAACATGGCAATCACCATTATATTTTCTGTTAAAATTGGTTTTTGTCGAATATTTGTGAAAAAAACATCAGATCAAACATGTGATGAATGAAATCGTTAATTCAGAGTATTATAAATCAGCACTTACTACTATAAAGAAATTTGGTATGTTTTATTCTAATATTTTGCAGAAGTAGTTTGAAAAGTAACCACACTTTTAGTGTCATGGTAAAAAAAAGGGTGTAGTAATTCATCATGGATGAAGATTGTAGTCAAGAGCAGCCTGAAGGTTCCTACGTTCGAGTGAACGCACTTAATCCATGAACCTTAAATTGTATGAATAAAAACTAAATTATGCTAATTCCTTTGTTTTTTACTGTTTAACCAACACTATTTAGTAGTAATTAGTGCTATTTGTTTCACGGATTTAGTGTGTTCACTCTATCAAGACTGCTGTGTTCAGTAGGTGTAAAATAAATTAGCAAAAAAAGGCTGATGGCCTACAAAAAGTTTGCAAACATGACAGTAATATTAATTATATAAACTTTTAATGAACTATAACTTAGTAAATTGAACTGTAACAACTTAGTAAATTGAACTATAACATTGCATAACAACTTTGAATATTGTCATATCAGCTTTAACAAAAATGTAAGATTGTGGATTACTAGTAATAGCATCCAAACTATGTTTTACCAAGGCAGTTTTAGCATTATCTCACTGCTTTCATTGAAAAATCAAAAATTGTGGTGATTACAGAAGAAACTGATCAATTATTTTTTGTGAGTCTTCAGCTATAAAGGTTAATTGATTTCCTTGTTTGAGGAAAAGCCTTTCAAGGCTCTTTTCTGTATATTCATTTAGCGGTTTGTCATTACCAATTATTTGAAGGAAACTCTTCAGGGCATCATTGAAAAATGTGTAATTGGATATCTTGTTTTGATCATTTTTGATTGTTAAATTGCAGACAAACTTAATTTTTTGATTTGATGTTAATAATGTGTTTTTACAGTGGTTGCATGTAAACATGTCGTCATCGTCTTCATCCTCCTGATCTTCACGTTGAGCTTTATCATGTTGAGATTCATCAATTGTGTTGTTACACACAAGACAAGCTTTTCTTTTTGTGATGTGTACTGCAATACAAGTACCTGTAATAAAGCTGTCTTTGAGGTCGTCTACTGTGTCTAAGTTGATATCTGTTAAGTCTTCAATCTTCTCAATAGTGGTTGATTCGTTGGTGTTAAGATATTTGTCATCATCAAACACTCTTATAGTCAGATTCTTGATATGATAACTTTCTCCTGCATGTATCTGATCAATTAAGTCTTCCCATATTACTAACTTCATAGAATTAGTATTATCCGCCACCAAACAATCAGTTTTATATATTTTCTTGTCATTCTTTATAACCCATTGCTTGTTTTCTGTCTTACTAAACACTTTTATCTTTATATCTACTACATCATATACATCGGCAGACAGGCACTGGTCGATTTGATGCAAACGTGAGGTTAAAGCAGCATCATGAGTAAAGTCTGTTCTTGTTGTTGTGATTTTTGCATATTTTGTGATGCAAATTTCTTCCTTTTGGTTTTGGTTGCTGAATGATTTGGACAATGAGCGTTTTACACCTTGGATCTTTATTGGTGATTTACTTTGACAAGCTTGTTGTAGAGCAAGTCGTTTTTTAGGTGAATAACATACTGCTCTCACAACATGGTGTTGGCTTGTTTGTATGTGACAGTTGAAGTAACTTGATCTTTTTTCATTTTTTGCTGTCTTTATGGCAGATAACTGATGAATGTAGCCTTGAACTTCATCTGTGAAAAAAAGGTGCATAATTGTTAATGTGAAGTAGACACATGCAAATGTTATGGCTAAAAATAAATCCTCATTTCTCTTTACTATAAAGCATGTTTAAATTAAATTGAGATGAATAAAAAAATTAAAAAAAGGAGAAGTATTGGCTTACCTTCATCTGAAGTCTTTTGATTTGATGAACTGAAAGGACAAAATTTTTCAGTTCACTGGTCTTTTGCAAAGTTGTTTAAATATATTAATGTAATACACCAATATAATCTAATGGACGTAGAAAGTTGGCAAGTGTATTTTTTCTAGCTTACTTTGATTTTGGAGCTTGAGTCATGACTATTAAATTATAAATATCATTAGAAAAGAAATACTTACTTTGAATTTGATGCCATAGTTGAATTTATCTGAAAATGCAATAGGACATAATTGTTTCATAATTCTGATTGATTAGCACTTTCAATGTATTGTTAAGAGTATATAAGTGAATACAAATATAAATTGAGTTTAACTGATGTTTTGTTTTACACGGCATTTATCACGCCATTAATAGTGTGCCGAAGCACATTTTCAGTCACATTGTTGTGATTACTAGTTCCCCGAAGGGAAATTTGAGTCTGCCGAAGCAGAGTTAAGATCACATTGCTGTGATTACTGGTTCCCCGAAGGGAAATTTGAGTCTGCCGAAGCAGAGTTAAGATCACATTGCTGTGATTACTAGTTCCCCGAAGGGAAGTTTGAGTCTCCTGAAGGAGATTTTGAGCGCCATTTCTGGTTTTATTTGTTCCCCTAAGGGAATGAAAGAACGCCATACGGCCAGCACATGGTCTTGTGTGATACGCCAAGCGAAGCAATCGGACTTTTGTTGGCAAACAAACCACATAACGCTCCCCAAAATCTGGAATATTCTTTAGAAATACAAATTTGACTGCAAATGCACTAGAAAGTTGTGCCTATTTCTAGACACAAAAAAGGTTGAATACATTGTATTGTGATAATAAAGAAGAACAACTCACCTTCACGTCGTTTGAGAAAAGAGAACGCACATGGTCAGATCAAATCAATTTGTCCTCGTAAATTTCAGTCGTCGTGATTTCGTTGAAGATTCCGTACAGGCTCGTAATACGAGATTACTTCGACTTGGTCGAAATTACTTCGATTTGGTTACAGACACTCACTCAAAGCCGATGACATACTGACGAAAGCCTTCCCAGAAGGCCTTTCGTCACAATAACAAAAGGTATAGCTGAAGATGGCATAAGGATGCCTTGTTATCAACTCAAACCTGTCGTTTCATTATTAAAAAAAATTAATGTCATCTGTGCTCTTACGATCATTTGGGAATATAGATATATATGGTTTTAAAAATATCAGAAGAAA